ATTAAGGAAGATACCTTAAGTTATAGTAGGATCCCTAATATGATTTAAGGTAGGAATAGACCTTAAGTTATAGTAGGATCCCTAATCTGATTTAAGGTATATTCCTTAATTTAGGGATATTGGCATTGGAGTCTCTGGGATGAAGGTAACCTGGGCATTTCAAAGGGATCTGACCTGCCTTAAACCTCAAATCCTAGGGATCTTTAGGTCTGGGGCACAAGGCCTCGGATCCTGTGTGGAAGGAGTGTGGTGTACAGTTTAGGGTTTAGGGTTTAGGGTGAGTGTTGGTGTGGGTAAAGGGTTTCGGAGTTTTGGGGCATTAAGGTTTTCATCTTCAGAGTGGATCAGCTTGGGGTTTAGGCCGTGCCAGAATCCCAAACCCTAGTCCCCCCTGAGCCCTAATCCCCCTAAGCCCTAAACACCAAACCCCAAACCCTAAAAAAAGGAACTAATCCCTAAACCCTAATCCCTAAACTCGAAACCCTAAACCCTGATCCCCCTAAGCCCTAATCCCTAAACCCGAAACCCTAAACCCTAATCCCCTAAGCCCTAAACCCGAAACAACCCTAAACCCCTAAACCCCTGAACCCTACACCTTTAAACCCTAATCCCCTAAGCCCTAAACCCTAAACCCTAAACCCTAAACCCTAGTCCCCCTAAGCCCGAAACCCTGCTTTCACGCCAGACCCAGGATGCAGGCGCAGAAAATGAAACCCGACGAGAGGCATCGTCGTGCTTCGGGAGCTCGGATGGACGGTTTAGGGTTTAGGGTTTAGGGTTTAGGGTTTGGATGGTAGGATGGTGTGTAATATGGGAGTTTCCGCAAATAGGGGGCTACCTTATTTTGGGGTCCTTATAATAAGGATCCTATTATTTGGGGTACTATATTAGGGTCCCCTATTTTCGGAAACCCCCATATAGAGGCCGAAATAATTTGGAATGGAATTCCCTCATATGGAGAAAGCTAATGATGTTGTTGGATCATCGGGGCTCTGGTTTGCACATCATGTTGCTGATTCGATCACAGGGGAGATGTGTGTGATGGTATTTTGTTGTTTGCATGTTCTGATTCAGCTAGTCTTTCGTCTACTCCACTGGGTGTGTACTCTTCCCCTTTTTTATGACTCTTTACCTTTACATGCAACCGACGGTAGCATCCCGCCCTAAACCTTGAACCGTAAACCCTAACCTTGCACCCCGCCTGGTAGAAAATCTCGAGCCCCAAAGCTTAACGGCTCCCTGAAACTCTGGAGCCCACGGCAGCAATTTCTGTGGGAATGTTGTTGGGTGATGTTTTTTTTTTTTTTTGTGTGTGT